CAGGGGATTAGGAGCGTAGAATATAGCTCATGTGATGACCATTGGGTGCTCATCTTCGGAATTGGTGGAGCCAACATCCCCTCATTGCTAATTGCAGGAGAGAATCAAGGCATCTGAACTCAAAATCCTAAAACCCTAAATCCTAAACCCTAAACCCTAGAGCCCTAAACGCTAAACCCTGGCACCTGGGTGGGGCAGGCCCTTAGCTCCTAAGCCTCAAGTCCTTGTAGCTGCAGAGACTTAATGTAGAAGCCCAAAGAATTACCCAAGTGATTCCTTCATGAGTTTTGTTCTTGTTGCAGCCCTTGTTAGAAAGCTTCCAGACTCATAGATCCCTAGGAATCCAAGTGCCTAAGTCATTCTTCAGGTGCCTATATGAGCTATAGTCTAAACTCCTTAAAGGGGGTTATACAGGGGACTATATAGGGGACTACTTTAGGGGGTATTAAGGGGGATACTAGGAGTTTACACAATGGCTCGTATAGGAAGCCTTCTTGCCTCAGATTATGTGTTATCTAGGAACTTGGACCTTCAAGGGATACTGGAAGAAAAGCCTAGCAGACACACCATAGGAGGCTGAAGCATGATTGCGGGTTTTGGTCGCGAGGGCTTTAGAAACCCCTACCTCCCCAATTAGGAACCTGTAAGTATAACAGCGTCCTCGTCTTGGGGGTTGGGGTTACCAAAGCCCTTTTAATAGACCGTTTATGCCAGCACCAGGGAAGTGGTTTCCAGATTTTGTTGGTTGGCCTTGGGGGAGTCCTGACAGCAGGGAGCATAAAAAGTTGAGGTGTGCAATTGGACGCCTGTTTTTTTGGTGCCAATTTCACATGTAAGCTGAACATGAATTGCCCTCTTCAGTAACATCCTTATTACACTCATTCAGCGCCATAGACCAACCCAAGCCTTGACCCTAGAATTCAAGAAATGGATCTTCAACCCCTAAACCCCCGAAGCCTAGACCTCCTCCCATTAAACCTACTCCCACTCTTTCGGCCGGTAATTCTGACTGCGAAGGGCGGCGAAGACACAAACGGCGACGACAGAACGATGATGATTCTGCGCCCGGTAGCTCAAGAGGCTGGGATTCATCTCGTCAAGAACTGAGGGCCCCAGGGACCCCAAAAATATGTATGGATCATGAGGGCGTTCTAGGGGTCTTTGCTTTTTCTACCAGGGATTACGTTGAGAAACTCGCATCTAGAGCAACCTGTGTATTTGTAGTTTCTTGAAGTTACCATCGTAGATAGCACGATAGAGTGTCCGTAATAGGTACACTTCACTACTTGAATTTGGAATTTCATGTAGGTTTTTTCAGGTTCCAAGTTTCCTTGGGGAAACATGATGCTCGTCGGGTGAGGTTTGGGGGATTGGTTTTCAAGGTTTAGGGTTCGAGTTTGCAGCTTAGAGTTGCGTGCTTACTGCTAGAGTTCACAAACTGGAGGATTGCGGGAGCTTAACGTCGTCTTGATAGTTGCTTCGATGGATTTCAGGTTTCGCTACATCCTCGTCATCACGCTACGTTGCTCTTACAACTCCCACTCTGTAAAGCTGTTGGTCTGTCTCTTCCTTTTCCCGACTTTGCTATGTTCAGCAGTGTCTACAACCTACAAGTCAGATCCAATGAGTCAAGTCATGGGCTGTGTACAGAAGCACATTTGGAGGTGATGCGTACGGACATCATTTCCTAGTTCGGAAAATTTGTCCCGAACAGGCACAGCTACGTGGGCCAGTGTACACACACACACACATACTTACAATGAGTAGGACCCAGCCCTGAAATTGGCCTATAGATGTGCAGGACGCTTGCGCTTTCGAACAGTTCTAAACTTGATGCCGAGCAAATGGCTGGATAGTTTAGCTGAGCCATGTTGAGAGTCTCGATGGTGCCCAACCCGCAGAAGGAAGATGATGATCAACCTGCCCGTTTCGCTTTGATGTTGCAGAGGCAGGGATACGGGCAGAGTTTGTTGCGCCTGTGTCATGGGACAAAAGTAGAATGCCTTTCGTGAACATAACTGTCTGAAGGGTCGGGACAGCGCTGCTCGTAGCGTGGTGTTGCTGTTGGCAGTAGAGAGGTTTTTTTTGGCGGCGGCGGTGCTGCTGTTGGTGTTGGTGGCGGGTGGTGGCACAGGTTTTGGTCGGACAGGTGGTGGCACAGGTGGTGGCGCAGGTGGTGGCACAGGTGGTGGATTAGCTGTGACATCTATAGTGCATGTTACTTCAAACATTCTCAAAGTCATATGGCCAGTTATTTCAGCCAGCCTGTATCAACCCCACCCTAAACCCTAAACTCTACACCCTCAACCCTAAACTCTAGACCCTAAACCCGAAAACCTTAAATCCTAAGCCCTTAAACTCTAAACTCTAGACCTTAAACCCCAAACCCCTAAATCCTAAACCCTTAAACCTTGCACTCTAGACCCTTCATTCTAACCCTGCTAGACCCTGAAGTTTCTGCGTAAAGACAGACGAAAGGCTCAGGACACAAGAGCAGGCCTAGGGTTTAGGGTAGTTCAGGGCTTTGGGTTTAGAGTTTTGGGTTAGGCCTCAGGGTTTAGGTCTTAGGGTGTAGGGTTGTGCGGTAAAGACGCTTTTAACCCAAAGGAAACAAAGTACCTACACGGGAGATACTAACAGAACCATATCGCTAATTCCTAGTAAAGAACCTTCCACTACATCATACAGGTACTTAGGAGCCCTCGGATGAGGCTCAAGGTCAGTTTAAGCGGGTTCAGGGAGTTTGTGGAGCTTGTTTGAAGACATTTTCAGGGTTTTTGGGTGTTGAGGGTTCATCGCGTTTCTAATGGTTTAGGGCTTTACTAATTTGCAGGTCGCCTGTAATGTGGACTGCAGTATTCGACGAGGAACATAAGTGGACGGCAATCTGCGACCTCCCCAACCTATGGACCGTATACCTTACATCCAATTCCCAGCACCTCAAACCATAAACCCCAAACCCCAAACCCTTAACCCTAAACCCCAAACCCTACAAAAAAAGTAAGCCCAATGCCCCGACCCCTAAACTCTAAACCCCAATCCCTAAACCTCCAACCCTACACCCCGCAACCCCCTATAAAACCTTTATAAAACTCTATATACTCCCTATAAATCCCCCAGAAATCCATGAAAAATGTGGCCTATATGACCCTTATATTTCCCATATATGACCCCTGTGTAACCCTTATATAACCTTAAACCCTAAACCCTATATAACAACAACATACTATAGCAGTTTCTATTTCTTTTCCATAATCCCTCACATGATCCCAACCCTCCCCGGCAGTAACTTGCGGAGGCTACGGCCGGATGCGGCGCCCTTTGTAGCATCACTGCAAGAGGTCGTGGACCTCAACCTGAGGCCCGGGGTTTAGGGTTTAGGGGTTTATGGTTTAGGGGTGTAGAGGTTAGGGGTTTAGGGGTGTAGAGGTTAGGGGTTTACGGGTTTAGGGTTTTGGGGTTTAGGGATTCCGGGTTTGGGGCTTAGGGTTAATGGTTTGGGGTGTAGGATTTAGGGTTTTTGGTTTTAGACGCTTAGAGCCTGGGGTTTGGGTTTGAAGATCTTCATGAGGCTTGAGAACTCCTTCTGACAGGAGGTCTGACCCTAGTCACACATGGGGGCAAGCTCTACAGAGCGAGAGTATAAGTAGGGTAGTAAGCCCAGATATAAATAGTTCTCAGCCCTTAACCCAGATATAAATAGCTACTAAGGGTACTGGTTTGGGCTCGACGGCTTTGGGTGGTTGGGTCAGCAAGTTCAGGCTTTAGGTTTTAGGGATATATAGGGTTTAGGGCTTAGGGTTTAGGGAAAGGATTGCAGAACAGCTTGGTAGCAAGCCTAGGTGTTATAGCTCAATCTTTTTTTGACGAAAACATATTCCCGGTTTAGTGCAATCGTTTGGGCACTGATGAACTGAAGCGGGTTGTAAGGCATGCGAGGTATAGGCATGGATTCTTATCAAGTCTTCTGGTTTAGCATGTCCCCTGCAAAAAACTAGGACAATGGTGTTGTCTTGGGTTCCTCCCAGGTATTCTTAGGAAGAGATGTTCTCAGTAGTGATCAGGGAATTTAGTGGGAAGTAGTAGAGACGTGGTGGAAGACTTGTATCAACCCTTAAACCCTAAACCCTCAGGCCTCTGCACTTTGAAGAGAATGGCTTATTATGTTGGGGTTGTTGTCATCAACGGTTTCTGTGTGCATTCCCAAAGGATACTAAGTACCTATATGGTACAAGCTTGAGCTTCTATATTCGGAGTCAGTAATATGGTTCTATTAGTATCCCCTATATGAGCCATAGTCTATACTCCTAGTATCCCCATTTACAGCCCTATAGTTGTCCCCGATGAACTCCCCTATATAACCACCCAAAAAGAGTATAGACTACAGTACATATAGGTACTTAGGATCCTTTGGGATTGTAGGGTGAGTAGGCTGCGCATGGGTGGTTGTCGATGTGTGGGGTTTAGGTGACCCCCCCATTCTGTGATAGTGACTATAAGGGATAATAGTTCTTAAGTTAGGGTGGTATAATATTCTTATCATACCACCACGGTATTACACCCTAGTCCCTAAAGCTTAAACCCTATCCTATTATCTCGCTATTGCAGGGTGGGGGGTCCTCCGAATGTGGCGTTACAACCCACGCAGCGGCCTTGCACTCTCAGACAAAATGAGCCATGGTCTAAATTCCTTAAAGAAGGTTATATAGGGCCTGGGGTTTAGGGTCTAAACTCGTTAAAGGTGTTTTTCAGGGGATTAAATATATGGTCAAATGAGGGGTACCTGCTGCATTGCTTAAAGGACGCATGATGCTCATGATGCTTCAGTTCTTATCAACCTTTGCCGGCTGTTAGCCCCATAGCTGTTTGCGAAGGCTACCTTGACAACTTCAGACAGACCGGCCTTTATCATGCTTGCAAAGGCTCTGGTCACCCATTAGCAGACCAACAGAGTAGTGAACTGCAGTTTGGGATTTCTGTTGCAGAAGGTGTAGGCAAAGATGGCAGCCATGAGCCCCCCTGGGATTCGCGCGGTCTTGGCCGGAGCGGGCGTGGCAATGATGGGTGAGGCGAAAGTGGTCACTGCAGTGCTGCAGCTGACCAAGAAGCCTCCTTCGGACGTAAATCTGCTGTATCTGGGCACAGCCACCTATGACCTAGCCTCATTCAGGCAGAAGCAGACGGGTGCGTTCGCAGATCGCGGAGTTTCCATCACCACCTTAGACGTGGCGTGCAAGACGCCTGCCCAGGCAGTCGTTGACGACAAGATCGAACGTGCAGACATTATCCTGGTCTCAGGCGGGAATACCCTATTTGCAGTGGACCGTTGGCGTAAGGCTGCAATGGTTGAGCCGCTCCGCCGGGCAATGGCACGTGGGGCAACGCTTTGCGGTGGGTCGGCTGGAGCCGGCTGCTGGTTTGATGCGCTGCACTCGGATAGCATGGATCCCGATTGGTATCGGACAATCATGTTAGCCGGAGGAGGGGCAGCAGCAGAAAAAGCTCCAGGCGAGGCATCGGCCGCGGGCGAGAAGCGTGAATGGGACTACATTCGCGTCCCTGGGCTTGGATTCCTACCTGGCCTGCTTTGCCCACACCATGATCGTGTGCAGAGCAATGGCGTGCTACGTTCCACAGATTTTGCAGGGATGCTTCTGGGTTGCTGTTAAAGAACTTAAACTAATTTACCTTAATGGGTGTATAAATATAGTAATTCATAGGGTTTCCCCAATATAGTAATTAGAATTAAGTTCCTTAACAGCAACCCAGGCTTCTGCGTCATCCGGGAGAGACGGGCCTGGCCATCGACCACTTCGCCGCCCTTGTGCTGTACGATGGTGAGTACCAGGTCCTCTCACTTCCTGACAAACCGGGCTCCCTAACGTCAGAAGGTGCCAATGAGCCTGGCAAGGGTGTGCCAGCTGTTTGGATCAAGTCTGTAGCTGCAGATGGAATAACGATCCAGGAGACAGCCCTGCCTGAGAGGGGGCCGTTGGCTGCACTACTCCACCCGGCACGAGACATTGTAGAGGACAGTCGAGTGGAGGTGGTGCGAGCAGCTAACCCGAGCCATGACCTGTAGGATGGGCATTGCAGAGTTGTATTGCATCCCTTGAAGGTTCTTCCCCCTTTATCATGGGGTTTATTTCCCATAGGCCTGTAGAATATGCAGACTACTTCTGCAGATCAAGGCAACCTGGAGGAAAATCGTTTCAGCGCATGCCGCGCATGCTTCGTGAGGGGAAAACAAGAGGCATGTGATCGGCGCGGGCAAACCCGATGATCCTTGCACCCCAAGAACCTGACATCCTGACCTCCAGCCCAAAGGGTCACCGTGGCTGTATAGTACTGTGTGTATATATATATATCTACATATATAATATATATGAGTGTATATATGCGTACATAGTTGGGCCTAAAGTAGATATATAGGAACCGCTTTGGCTTTGGGCCCTCAGTATATATTACATGTATATACCTACCCTAAAACCTAGAGACCCTAAACCCTATGTCATATAGCGACATGGACCCTTTGGGAAAAGCATTGCCATGCATTTGGCGGCCATGATTCTGACTCAACATCTTTGCGCCGTACTGGTCTTCTTCGCTGTGCTTGGTAGGGAATCGGGCTATGGCCTGTAGTGATTGTTCTATACTGGATAATGTACAGACTTCTCCAGAGGTCTATTCATGCATGGAGCTATATAGCCTCTGTTTGGGAGCTGAGCTGCTCTTAACATGACCCCTCGAAAATTCCATTGAGGCCTTGAAGAGTGTTTCGAAAACTTACGCGGTTCATAGAGTCCTCGACACCAAGCTTCAAATTCTCATCAACGAAGCTGTTCGCAGGTAACGAATGCTCGCAACATGATAAGTACCCCTGAGGAAATTTCCCAAAGCGAAGAAGTGTAAACTTCTGGGGAAATGCCAGAAACACACGTTTTCATAATACACCCTGAACCCTTGGATGTAAATATCAGGCCCGGTGGAAGCTGCAGAACTTGAGGTATAGGGTTTGGATAGTTGCACGTATCAATATCTATTAGTCGGGTCCTTATCTTTAGGTTGCAATTGTAATCTGGCTCTTTACCTAGACCCTCCTCCTACCCTCTATTAAGGCCTCAGTACCCACTTTTAGGGGGCATATATCCCCAATTCAGGCACTAGGAGGGTCCTGGTACATAGGTCTCCCATAACCCTACACCCTAAACCCAAAACCACATTTGGCCAGTTGGAGCGGGAAAGTACCAAAGTAGGTCTTGGCAATCATGCAAGGTTGTCGATGCAGTTGTCATCCCCTAAACCCCTAAACCCTAAACTCCTACCTGGGCCCCAACAGTATGTGAAATAGTTGCCTTTATGGCTGTTACTATGGGTTTAGAGACATTATTCTACAAATTTTTGGGGTTTAGGTAAACTCATTATGATTGCCTTTCCGAGCTGGTAATTCCTCAGCCCCACATGACTAGTGCGTTTGTTCGGGACGCCAGGTGTCCCGATACAGCGCAAGATCCTAGTCTTATTTTGGCTGCAGCATTAGAAGCCATACAAAACCCTAAGCCACACACACTGTCAACGCAGCGCACTTCAAGTCCTCGAGACCCTGCAACTACCCTCCATTCAGGCCTAAGTGCCCTCTGTTTGTTAACCCCACCACCCAAAACCCAAAGTAATAGGACCCCACTATTTGGGGGGATCTAGAACCTCAAAACTCGAAACTCTAAGTATATCTGGGGCCCTAGAAACACCAAACCCGAAACCCTATAAGTACTATATAGAACTAAAACCCGAAACCCTACGTACTAGGACCCACTGGTTGACTATTTGGGGGACCCTAGAACCCCAAAACCCGAGACCCTAAGTACTAGGACCCACTGTTTGACTATTTGGGGGTCTCTAGAACCCCAAAACACCCACTATTTGACTATTTGGGGAACCCTAGAACCCCAAAACCTGCAACTTTAAGTACTAGGACCTACTATTTGACTATTTGGGGGGCTCGAGAACCCCAAAACTCGAAACCCTAAGTACTAGGACCCACTATGTGAGGGGCTGTGTCAACCCCAAAACCCGAAACCCTAAGTATAGGAGGGTTCTTGGGTGTGGCTCCTGATGAGGCTGCGGGTTGCTGCTCCCACGTGACCTGGTTGACTTGGTGTCATCCCCCCCGTGGTAAATCGCTAATAAGGGTCTAGGGTTTAGGGAGTTTAGGAGTTTAGGGTTTTGGAGTTTAGGGTTTAGAAGTTTGGGGTTTAGGAGTTTAGGGTTTAGGAACAGCTATCATTTAGTGGGGTCCGGGGGTTGCATTTTAGGAGGAGGTGGTTATCAGACTTGGAGTGCGGTCATGCACGGTTCAAGATTTAGGTTTGTGGGCTCAGGGTTCAGAGCTTATAATTCAGGATTTGGGGTGCAGGTTTAAGGTTTGGGGTTTAGTGTTTGGGGTTTCAGGCCGTTCAGGGTGCGAGGCTTCCTGAAAGTAGACAATTGGCAAAGAGTCGCGGTTGCTGCAGGGTAATGCATGCTTAGTTCGGTAAAGACCAGAGGTATTTGAAACTGGTGTCTAGGTTTCCAAGCAGCAGGTCTCGAGGTGTCTGCAAACTTCAGGGCTCAAACAAAACGCCAACAGCCCAAAGTGGGTTGACTGAAGAAAGTCTGAGGTGGGCTCTGAGGACCATTAAGCGCCTACGAGCCTCTTCTGTAGATCCTAGCTGTAGAATATGGGGTAGATGATTTTGGGGGTTTTATAGGGGTGTAATGGAAAAGAAAATGGAAACTACCATATTATAATGGGGAATATATTGGGGTTATAGTCCCCCTTATTTGGGTCACAACGGCCTGGCGATGGTAAATGGGGTCGGGCCAAACTGGACTCTCTGGGTGTCGTCATCGTTTTTAAAATGCAAAGGTAACCCTAACATTCCCAACTAAAAGGTTTTTACTATAAGTAATGGTATTCAGGCGCTGAAAACCCTATTATGGGTGTTTGGACCCTTGGGGTAACCTTCAAAACCCAAGGGAACTGGGCGGATAACATTCTCGCAGCAATAGAATTCCAATCATACCGGAGAAAAGGCCCTATAAGCCCTAAGCCCCTATGTTTTGTTGCTGGAACAGCGCATTTACTCCGTCGTGCTGGAGGGAGGAGTGGCGGTCCCTGTTAAGGGTTTAGGATACTCTTGGTACAGTGCCTATATGGCTGTTTCCAAAAATGGCGCGTCAGAAATTCATGAAAGGGTGCATGTTTGACCCCTCCGATACATACCCCGATACATACCCCGATACAACCTCGATACTTACTCCGATACATACCCCCACAACGTCCCTTTCGTCAAGAGCCCAGCACTACGAAACATACCCCGAAACATACCCCCGAAATATACACCAGTCCAAACTTGCTTTTTACCCATATTCACCCTTCCCTTGAGCGCCAGCAGGTTGACATATCCCATGCTGCCTCTAAACCCCATTTCCTTGCTCTTCCACAAGCGAGACTTAAGCTCCAAGTACTGTCCTGTCCTGTGCCTTGCCACACTTATCATCCGGAATCCCAAAGCAAGCTGTAAGCGAAGGTATCTCCCTTTATCTCTTGATTTTATCTTGAGTCTGACCAGCAATTTCCATACCTGAGGAGGACACCTTCAGAAGTGCATTGCACGGATACCTGGGGTCATGCGGGGATACTTTGGGAAGGATAGGGGTTCTATAGGGATTATAGGGTTCTGTTGGGGTTACATGGGGATACTTGAAGAGAACATGGAAACTGCTATCATAGGGTTTATAGGGTTTAGGGAGAACAGTTTATCTGAAATCTAGAACCCTTCAGTCACAGCAGGGGGCTCGAACAGTGCGCGTATAGCCGCACTTGAACCTACTCATGCCCCTTCAAAGCCTAAAGCCAAAGGCCAGGTGCTAACCCTAAACCCTAAACTTACTTAGCCAATGGAAGAACTTTAAACTTGTAGGCCTTTCTTATTTGGTCTTTAAATGAAAGTTTGATTTTTTTTTAGCCCTGGTTATTGGGGAAGAGAGTAAACCCTAAACCAGCCAGTTGCCGACATGACGAGCTCATGTTCCTTGTTTAGGGTTTAGGGTTTAGGGTTGGTATATACCCTTAGCCTTAGCCCTTTACTAAATGGATTTTTCTCGAAATTTTGAGGTATATAGATTTCTGAATGGGGACCACCCAAAATCCGTACTTGATCTCCATATATAGTCCCCCTTGAGTAGATAGAATATGGGGTATATGGGGCTCTTATTGCAATTTACCCAAGGCCATATTCTATCTACTTAAAGGGGGACTATAACCTTAAACCCTGAACCCTACACCCTAAACCTAAATAGTAGTTTCCATTTTCTTTTCCATTATCCCAATATAGCCCCAATATATACCCCCTAAACCCTAAACACTAAAGCCCTATATCCCTAGAGTCCCTGAAGGCCGAACCATACTCGAGAAACCCCGCACCTGACATGGGTAAAATGCCCAGGAGAGTCCTGGGCGGGCTTCGCGGTGAGAAAGTCCGAGGAGTGTGCCTTGCTTCATGAGTTACTGGGGTCTCTAGGGTTCAGGGTTCAGAGCTGGTTTAGGGTTTAGGGACGATTTACTTAGGGTTTAGGGTTTAAGGATGGCTTACTTAGGGTGTAGGGTTCAGGGTGAAGGACAGGCGGGGGTTGGCTTCAGGAGGGACCTTGAACGTGGACCTCTGTAGGTTATTGGAGGGAATATGCGGGCTACCTGATTATGTAGGGGGGTATGTGCAAGACCATTAGTCAAGGTAATGGAGTTCAACCCTCAGAGTTCGGCTGACGTCTTGGTATCTCAATTCCCTACACTGAAGGGGAAATTATTACAAAGCTCCAGGTAATCGGGGTTGCAAGCAGGGTTTAGGGTTGGATGTTATTTCTACGTACGGTTCCGAAGTCAGTGAGTGCATGATGCAATGCAGTTCATGTAGCCTGTACCCGCTTTCTAGGCTTTACAGCCTTGAGGCTTAGGATCTACGATCTCGAGGTACTAAAAACGATCCGGAAAAATTCGGACAACTTCCACGAGTGGAACCCTAACTGTAGTCTCCTTAGGAA